TTTTTTTTTTTTTTTTGGCATTATTGGAAATATTTATCCGCTTGATTTCATTTCCAGAATACATTTCTTTAAACACTCAATGACTAGTCCAGAAATTCCACTTCGAAGGCCAGTAAATAGGCTGTGCTAGTAGCCCTGTTTTAGAACACAGCTACGGCCACAAAGCTTCTTTCCCTTTCCCTCATCAACTGGCTCAAAGGTCCTCCATCCATCTCCGTTCACAGTCGTGCCGAAAATGTGCACCTGCGACCTCAATCCTGATGCCTCTCCGGGCATCCTATAACCAGCCAGGAAGTACAACTTATTCTCTATTGGAGCCATGGTTAGGTACAACATGTGCATTGGTGATATTGTCATTTATGGAATCATCTCGAGCACGAGGACTTCGAAGGGCCCCATTTCTCGATTTGTGGACCTTAGTCCTCGGGTATGTAATGTGCTCGAGATAGCTCAAGGACAGGCATCACGGATCGGCCCCAAAAATCACATTAGCACTCGTCGGGGCAATAATGCTCGGGAAATTTACTTGGTCAACCTCAAAACACTCCGTGATCAAGCGTCACTAGTCCTCATCCAGAAAGAATCCTAAGCCCATCCAATTGTTCATTGCTCACGAGTTCTAGGTCAACAATGAGTCTTTCCTTGTTGGGACTTCAAGTAGGGAAGGAAACTCCTATACAACACTTATCCGAACACTATTTCCTGAAAATAAGGATATGAGTCATTTTAGAACTCCACTACTTACCTCTATAAATACATCATTCTCATCCATTATTCAGGTACACTTTTTCACATATATTTTCAGCATATATTTTTTCTATATTTTCTCTCTGACTTAAGCATCGGAGGGGCGACGAGGACACACCTCGACGCCTTTGTTTCAGGTACCAGAAGATCACGTTTATGCTCATTATCAGTTGTCAAGCTCGGAATTCACTAGGTGCAATTTTTGGTAGCATCAGTGGCCAATTTGTTTCCTTCACATCAGGAGTGGAGTTTGGAGACTTACAATGTAAATTCGATTCACTAACCTCGTTCCAAATGTTTTGTTTCTCATCGTACGCCTCGATGTATACCTTCCACGGCTAAAAAGGAATTGTCAGAACTGTAAAGCTTCCCACTGACATCAACAGTCTGATATGGAAGAACATCCAGTTCCCACATTCTTGCTTTGATATCGTGTTGCGGGTCGTAAGCCTCGGCTGAACTCCTCGTCATGACATACGGTCTAGGAATACGATCTAAGTTTCCCCTATAACATGAATTTTGCCTTGCCAGGTTACTCCAACACACTTGTACCTCATTGTGGACATGTTAGCCAAAGACCTCCATTCGTCCAAGGCTGGATCGTAAACCTCGGCCGATAAAATGCCTTTAGCCCGGCTTAAAGAGCTCTGCTTGCCCGCCACTTAAATTTTGTGGTCACATAAAGTGCATGCAAAATCAAACCTCAGTATGTTGGATATTTTCAACATATATGAGGCTGCACATTGAATATTAAAATGTGTGGTGCTATTAAATGATATTTGTCATTTAAAGTGACCAGTTAAAGATGTATTGTGACTAATGAGTATTAGGTTTCACGGAATTATATTGTAGAGACTGGAGTGTTGTTTTAAATTGATGAGGGGCCAATTTGAAGCAATTGAAAGATAGTGACTATTGAGTTGCTACTATTATTTTATATGGTTATGGTCTCCATTTGTTGTTGTTCTTGAGTTTCTCTACATTCCCATCAATAGAGAGCAAAAGTTGAAGTGAAGATCACAAATCATTTGGAAAATCCTAACCTATCCAAGCAAAGAATCAGATTATCATGGATATCAGTATGTTTTATGTTTTGTTATTTT